ATATGTAAACAAAGTAATGGCCCGTACTTCAGAGAATAAATTAATAATATTTGACTGTATTAATTTATCGTTATGTATAATATATCGTGTTTTTTGTGTTTACCGCGGGATAAATATATCATAGTTTATTAAAAATGTATTGCACTTTTTAGATTATGATTAAATCTTCTAAATAACTAGCCATATTTTATAGTAGTTTTAATATTATTGAGTCCGGCCATGATCCCACCGCCATATTGGTATTATCTTTAGCCACACCTACCTACGCCGTTTTTAATACACACGTTAATATGCTCATAGCTTCTCCATAGATTCTGACTCGATGGTGAGGACACATAATACCAACACGAAATATTTAGGCGGTAGGTGTGTTTGTTTTTAGAAACACTTTGCCGAGTACACTGGCATTACAGCCACTAGACATATTTTATTATATACGCGTAGAAATAATATATAAAGATTTCTATTAATGTCAACTTAAAGAAATATGTTGCGTAACAACAATATTTAATATTTTTAGTTTATTTTTGTATCATATTATTATATCATACTGTATATTAGTTTAGATTTATAAAATTTCTTTGTACCAACTAATAATCTGTAACGCGCCGATAGCTTGCATTTAAATAACTTTCTACACAAGTTTCTAAAACTTTCATAGAATCGTAACAATGAAAGGATTAGTATTTTTTAAATTATCCGTTTGACTCATTTGAAAATTGCGAAAGTTGAGACAAATACCCTTCTTAGGTAGTTTTTACCAATGAATTGAAAGTCAAAGGTATTTAAAATGTAAACATATCCTTAAAAAACGTCGAGGAGCTCAGGGAGGGGAGATTTTTGAATGTTAACAAAAATTACAAGCCGAGTGATTGAAGGAAGAGAGTGGACATCAGTTCGCAGTTCAAGTCAGTACAGTATCAGTTCAAATTCCAGCATCGAAAGAGCGCTAGGCTCTATTCGCTCCAGCGGCATTCAGAAGGTTTAAACCAGTCGGTATATTAATAAGTTCGTGTCAATCAGTTCGTGTCAATATTGTATCACCGAAAAGTTATCTAGTTTGATAGTTTCATAAAGTTTAGTTTCATAAATCAGCTATCGCATGCAAGTTATCGGCGTCCAAAGTACGTTGGAATCGTTTAAATAAACTTGTTAAAATGTTCTTTTCGAATCTTTCATTTGTCCCATTTTTCTGGATGATCCCTCAAAGAAGTATATAAAGTGAACCTATTTCCCTAAGGAAAAACCTTATTCCCCAAGGGAAAAAGCCAGCGACCTATGACTGGTGCGCGAAACAAAGCCACCAGGACAAGGTGTAAGGACAAAGACACCTGCATCTTCGCTCAAAATATACAATAATATGTTTTGTATGAGTTTTTTCTCTGGTGGTGGAAATACTAATTTCAGGGCTTTCTTGTGTAGTTTTTGATTTAACATTTTATTAATTGTTTGTATCATTAGTACCTTCAGTACCTTCTGCTCGATTACATATACAGGCAAAATAACAAAAAAAATTGCCAAACATATAAAAAAGAAAGGAATAACACCAGCTTTCCGAACAAATAACAACCTAGGCAAATATATTAAAAATAACAAGAGCCAAAATAAAAAACACTTAAATAGTGGTGTGTACAAACTTGAATGTGGCGACTGCCCAAAAACTTACATCGGTCAAACTGGTAGAAACTTTGATAAACGAATAGCAGAACATAAAAGGGCCTTCAAGAATAGAAAAACAGATTCGACATATGCACTTCACCTTCTAGATCATAATCATTCTTTTAATGACAAATTTAAAATTCTTCACATTCAAAATAAAGGTCTTAAGCTATCTTTGTTAGAATCTATGGAAATCAACAAATTAAAAAACACAGATATAATTCTGAATGACCAACTTGAGACAAACAGTTCTCCCCTCCTCAACCTATTTCATTAGAGACTATAAATTTGTAAACCCAAGCCAAAATAGATCACTTGAGAAAGGCAATCAGCCGAAACAGCTGTAGTGATAATATTTAAAATAAATTTTGTGGAAGTTTGAAAACAAAGTTTTCAGTGTTTTATTGTTACATAAAATGAATTTCCATCAAGTAACGGTCGAATCGATCAATTATAAATAATATTTTAATCAACACTTGGAAGGTAATCGTTCTCAGTAAAATATAAACTGCACACAGTCACGTATTTGGTTATATGTTTGCCAATTCTTAAAATGCATTGCCAAACTTTTCTCATATTCTCGTCCAGCGGAAACTTATGTATGGAATTTTTTCGTAAATTATATTAGGATGAACATTGAGGAACACTTCTTCTTAACGTGCCCTATCAAGTCCCCTTGACGTTGGCGATTAACATGGCGAAACTGTCTCTGTCTCGAGCTATTCTAAATAGTTGCTCAGCTTTCTTTATTACTGTCCACTCCCTGATATTCTTCAACCAAGAGGCCTGCTTTCTACCAATTCCTCTGCGTCCTTTGATTTTACCCATCATAATAAGTTGAAGAATATTATATCGGTCTCCCCTTACTACGTATCCAAAATAGGCCATCTTTCTACATTTGATGTTATCAAGCAATGGAACACTGTAATAGTTTTTTTAAAGTGGAAGTCATTGTTAATTATAATATAAACCGGTCGCTAATATGTATACAAAATAATGACAATTTCAATCTTTTCCCGAAGTAGATGCTTTTGAAATCTACCACCAGTCGTCGCCCACTTTGCGGTTCCTCGCCAATAGACGCAAGCGTCTATATTTTTTGGTTAAAGGTTACCTTTTCCTTTGTAACGTTGTAATTCTTGTTTTTATTTTGCATTTTTATTCTGTTTTTGCTCAGTTATTTTTTGTGTGCGTAGACCTTAGTGCTTAGATATCAATTTGTTTTAATTTTATCAAAATGGATATCTTATATACTAAAAGGCTAAGTAATAGTAAGTAAGGCAATACTCCTCCTAAACGGTGATAGATAGGAGAATACTTTTTTCGAATAATTAAAGAGATTGTTGAGTAGATTCCCCCTAGGGTTTCAAATTTAAAAAAATTTGAACCGGTTTAAACATGGCGGCCATAAAATGAATTTTTCCTATAGTAAAGTATAGGAATTTTAGAGGTTTCATTCTTCAAAATTTACAGTCCTAATTTTCAATGTATTTTTAAAATATGACCGCGTCTACTTTTTTCTTATACTTACTGATTGAATTCAGAATTATGAAACAGGAAGTATTTACTTCCCTACTTCCGGATTTAGTTTTGAAAATTATGGTTTCTTTCACGGTGTTCCAGAGCATATGGACGGGGCCGCGAGTTCTCAAACTGAGTTCTTTTTCTTAAACCCGTCATTTTACAATCTAAATTATGCAAAAAAAGTTACTTTCGGTTTTACTTCCGTTTTTTATTTAAGAGGGGCGGAGTCTAACAATCATATTGTTTCCGTTTCCTAATGTAAACCTTCCTGGAAATCCTAAAAACTACTGTATCGATTTTCCATTTAAAAAAAATTGGCGTCGATACAGTTTATTTTTAGGATTTTTGGAACATTTACACCAGGCGACGGAAACGATGGATCGTTAGACTCCGCCCCTCTTCATCATCCAGCCTCAAGAGTCCACTGCTGAACATAGGCCTCTTCCTCATGTTTTCAACCCCGTCTATCTTGAGCCGCTCTTATCCAGTTTTTATTGAGTCTTCTTAAATCGTCAGTCCATCTTGTAGGTGGTTAACCGACGCTTCTCTTGTCTTCCCTTGGCCTCCATTCCAATAACCTCTTTGTCCATGGCCCATCTGTCATTCTGGCTATGTGTCCTGCCATCTCCATTTTAGTCTGGCTATAAATAGGGGAGAGTCCGCTCCTCTTAAATATCAGCAAAACTTACATCAAAACTCGATGTCGAGTTGGTCCGCTCGTTAAACATTATACTGGTTTTAAGTCTCTATCTCATGATATCCAATTTCAACCAGCTACACCAAAAAAGGGGGAAAGATTTAGTTGATGCAGGTCATGTACGCAATGTTTCGGAATATAATAGCTTTTTTATTTTACACCATACAAATATCATGTTTGTATTATAGGTTATTTACTTATTTTCCTTATTGATAGCAATAATCCATTTTTCTCTTTGAACTATTTTATGCTTGGCAACAGGAAATGAATAAAATTTACAATGACTGTTATACCCAGTATTTTTACATATATCATATCTTTTTCTCTTTGAAAAATCAATATTCGCCATTATTTGAATGTTTACAAGTTAAATGCACAAAACTGCATTTACAGTTACTTATAACTGCACAGCGAATAAATAAGTTTTACGTCAATCAAAAAAATATTTTCGCTAACAACAGTATTTCACCTATAATAAACTCTGTATTCGACACAATTTTGTCTATAATAACATAAATTGCTGATAACTACCGAATAAAATGTTTAGAAAAAGGTAATATCAATAATATCATTAATACTGATATCAAATTAATTAATTTAACAAATAAGAGCACTGAAGAAATAAACTTTACGTTATACAGGAAATTCAATATCCAATCAAACTAAACGAATTATGTATAGTAATAATTAACAAGTATCTTAAAAACTCATATACTTTTTGTATAGCTTTTACAATTGCCACAAACTTCATATTAACATACCGTCTAGTACCAGTATATACCATTTTTGTATTTTAAAATCTAGAGCTCTCTCCACCCATATAAATATAGCTGTCACACTAGTTTCTCTTATGTTGAGCAATAATTTAATGATAAGTCCTTGGTACGTCCCACAGTTCAAAATAATCCGGCGGGTTTTGCTATTTGTATCTAGCCGGTCCTAGCCAAGAACACCCAAATAATTGACAACTAGCAAGTACGACCACAAGCATTACAATAACGCCAAATAGAAGATAGACGACGAATAGATGAACCAAAGAGAACACATAAAGCGTCTTGTGACACCATTTGTTCGGTTCGAAGAGAGTAGGTGCGTAGTCGGGCCAGAGGATCTTGAATACCCAGTAGTTACCCAAAGCAAACCATACTAGCAGAAGAACAGTTAAAGCTACCGAAGCTATTTTGGACACTATGGAGGTTGCGTTCATGCCGTTGTTACCAGTTCGCGAGTTGTGGAACTGGGACCAGAGCGTTAGGCTCATTTTGATACAGCCCACGCTACCTCCGACTATCATATATATGGGGATGTTGGGTTCTCGTGGGCAATCTCGAAGAAACTGGATACCTAAAACAAATGATATATAAACGTAACTTAACTGATAGAAATTAATTTTGTAATATAATACCAGAAACAATTGTTTAGTTAATATTCACAAAATTTATTATGAAACTAAAACACCATAATTATTTTTGATTTTGATTCTAGCATGTTGTAACCGTTTCAAAAGTTTCAAATTAGTTTTCAAACAAAAATTAATTTAAAAATAATTAATAATAAAAATATAAAGATAGTCTTGCATTATTCAAATCATGAATGTGTTGCTTGTGTGAGTCCATTTCAAATAGGTAAAGAAATAATAAATAAGACTTAGTCACAATCAATTTAATTTAACTATCAGACGACCGGTTTCGCTTTCTACAATATGCAAAGCATCCTCAGGTCTCGATACAAAGTTAAACAAATGCTAAAATGATAAAAAACCCATATTAGGGTGTTGTCTAATAACGATAAATAAAGTAGATGTTGTAAATTACAATAATTATGCCAATATTACATGTCTATGGTTTTATTTAAAAGAGTAAGTTGAATAAAAAGTATAAAAGTTTTAAAAGTTTAAACAGACAAGGTAAGGCCCACAAATTGTTATAAAATAGTCTATTAGATTGTAATAAATTAATAAATGAGCAAATAAATAACTAAAATAAACATTACTTACATGCCGGTACTCTATTAATTGATGGATGGTAGAACATGGTTGAAACTACTATGTATTGTTGAATGGAGAACTCAATTCTGTTATTGCAGTTGTTTGACAGTAAACGGGAAGTTCTTGAGGAGATAGATTTGATCCAATGAAGAAGAGATATGTGTGTGATTGTTTGTTAAATGAAAGTGATGTAATATACCATTGTATTATTAAAAGTTATTTATACTTATTCGAGAGATATATTTATGAAATGTGTGTTATTTATTGAGTGATTGTTTTATGAAGGTGACAGTTTTATGACAATGAATAAGTTTAGATGTAAAGATTGTGTGGGTGTGTAATTATTTTCCACTTGTAGTTATCAAATTACTTTGATAAAGTTCTATTGACAATTAGTAAATTATTGAAAAGTCAAGTAATTAAAATATTAGAATAAAAACAATTAAGGACAATTTAAACACACTAAAAGAGAAAACACTTAGAAGGGACGAAACAAACATTAAATTTAAAAGTTCTTCTTCTGTTTTTCAACACTGTTTCTGTAAGTTAAGTTATCTAATTTTATGAAATATGCTGTTATTAATGAATGTCTATAAATTTTTTCAGTTAAGATATCGAAAGTAAATTGATGTGTTTAATATTGGCATACTTTAATAAGACATCAATTTACTTTTGATATCTTAATTGAAACAATTTATAGACATTCATTAATAACAGCATATTTCATAAAACTAGATAACTTAACTTACAGTATTGAGAAACAGAAGGAGAACTGTCACATGCTAACCTACATCTGTCAAATTTACCACTAAAATCTAATAGATAAAACATAAAAAAACTCATTGTGCCCAAGACAGAAATGTAGTGCATTAAAGTCCTTCCCCCCTTTTAAATTTAATGTTTGTTTCGTCCCTTCTAAGTGTTTTCTGTTTTAGTGTGTTTAAATTGTCCTTAATTGTTTTTATTCTAATATTTTAATTACTTGACTTTTCAATAATTTACTAATTGCCAATAGAACTTTATCAAAGTAATTTGATAACTACAAGTGGAAAATAATTGCACACCCACACAATCTTTGCATCTAAACTTATTCATTGTCATAAAACTGTCACCTTCATAAAACAATCACTCAATAAATAACACACATTTCATAAATATATCTCTCGAATAAGTATAAATAACATTTAATAATACAATTGTATATTGCATCACTTTCATTTAACAAACAATCACACACATATCTCTTCTTCATTGGATCAAATCTATCTCATCAAGAACTTCCCGTTTACTGTCAAACAACTGCAATAACAGAATTGAGTTCTCCATTCAACAATACATAGTAGTTTCAACCATGTTCTACCATCCATCAATTAATAGAGTACCTTCTAACTTTTAAAATAATATTAACTTTTAAAACTTTTATACTTTTTATTCAACTTACTCTTTTAAATAAAACCACAGACATGTAATATTGGCATAATTATTGTAATTTACAACATCTAGTTTGTTTATCGTTATTAGACAACACCCTAATATGGGTTTTTATCATTTCAGCATTTGTTTAACTTTGTATCGAGACCTGAGGATGCTTTGCATATTGTAGAAAGCGAAACCGGTCGTCTGATAGTTAAATTAAATTGATTGTGAGTAAGTCTTATTTATTATTTCTTTACCTATTTTAAAAATATAAAGATTAATTCCACCAGGTGCGGAATCATCTAAATTACCTCTCAAGAATTCAACTGCAGTTCATATTATTTCCGATTTTGGCCTTACCAAATCCGAGTGCTGGTGACCCTCCACTGAACGTCATTTCATTTCTTCCTTTTTTGTCGTCCAGCAATAAGCACGCATGTTTTGTGTTAGTCTCCAGAAGAAAAACCAAAAAATTCCTTTTTTCTTTTATATTTTAAATAAATGTTTGTTTTAGACTCTTAACGGAAGCACTAATGGCTGCCAGAACTATGTTTATTCCTTAATAGTCGTGTATTTGTGATACGATGTGTTTTGAGGACAGAATGTTTAATTGACCGCCACTACATGACACCCTTAACAGTTCGCAGGATTACCGTTATTTGGTATAAGTGCCTTTTGTGGAATATATTGTTTGCTTGGCCACCCTCATCTTATAGATCTTTATGGTGGATATTATGTTTCTCCTGCCGATAGCTTCAACGTTCTGCAATCCCAGCCTAAGTACTTTCTTTTTTGAGTACCGTGCCCAAGTTTTAGGCGTGGGTAGCTTCCATGACGATTTGTCAATATCGTTCTCGATCTTGCGCGGCATGTAATAATTCATCTGCTGATAAGCCAGACCATTGATGAAGGTTTCGAAGCCATGAGTATTTCCTCCTACCAATTTCTCTTTTTCCGTCAATCTTTTCGATTCGAGTTTTCTCTTTTTTATCATCTTTATTAAGTCACCTTCACCTTGACCTACTCTATTCAAGACATCTGTTTGAAATTTTTTGAACCCATGATATTCTGAGCATTCTACGATATAACCACATCTCGAAGGCTTTTAATTTGTTCATCATGTTAACCCTCATAATCCAGGTTTCACATCTATACAGTAATATAGGATACACATAACATTTTTGGAACTTAATTCTCACCTGTAAGTTCAGCTGAGAATTGCTCAGAATAGATTATCCAACATCCTACATATTTAAAATTGTTAACTTTTGTTATCAGTTCATTATTATCAATTAGTTGTATAGCGCCGAGGTCTTATTCACTAACGATAAGTAACTTTGTCTGTTGTATTTATGCTTAGTCCGTTATTAGAGCATTATCTAGTGATTCGATTTATAAGGATTGAAAATCTTCAATAGTTTCAGCCATGATCGCGGTGTCATCTGCATATCTGATGTTGTTAATAGTTTCTCCCCCGATTCGAACCCCACATTACCCTTCCAAGGCTTCGTTAAAAATTATTTCTGAGTAAACGTTAAACAAAATTGGGGACATTACACAACACTGTCTAACACCTCTTTGAATATACATTTTGTCTGTTTCTTTGCCGTGTACCAGAATAGAAGTTCTTGTTCTTGATTACAATATAGATGTTGTAAAAGTCTAAGATCTTTATCATCTATTTCAATCATTTCTTGATATTTAAACAGCTTACCATGTCGAACCCTATCAAACGCCTTCTCAAAATCTATAAAACAGACGTAAATTGGTTTCTGTACTTCCCTTGATCGTTGAAGTAGTGTTAGTATTAAAAACAAAGCTTTCCTTTTTCCCAATCCTTCTTTGAAACCGAATTGTTTATTTTCCATTGTGTCTTCACATTTCTGCTTGATTTTATTAAGAATTATCCTAAGAAGTAGCTTGAGAGAGTGACTCATTGGACTAATTAGTCTCAAGTCTTTGCATGATGATGTATTAGGTTTTTTTGGAAGTGGGATAAATGTAGACTCCAACCATTTGTGGCAGTGTTCCAGTTTCGTACATGTGGTTATTAATGCTTCTTAGTTCGTTAACCTAAGTACCTAGTTGGTAAAAATGATATTATTTCTACAAGCTACACAAACATTTGGATAATTTAAGTTGTACCAATTTTATATTTTTTTATTGAACAGTGAAGATTAGCAATGAACTAAATAACAGTAGTGTAATTTATTATAGGTTTATTAATTATATAAATATCTTTATAATATATAAATACCTTCCATTTAATAGAATTTTTTTTATGTGAACGAATTTCGAAATTTGGGATAAAATATGATTGTGTTTGCATTTAAGTATTTTTGATTCATAATTTAATACCAAGATACAGAATGGTTGTTTTCTTACTACATGATGCAATTATAATTTTAGTTTCAAATAAACAATTCTTATTTGTAATTTAATATCTAAACAGAGAATGCTTATTATTTTCCAAGATGATGACATTCTCCTAGAATCTCTTAATAACTTTTTGTTAGTTACAAAATTTGGCTTTAGAAATGGTATGAGTACAAGAGATGCTTTGTTCGGCTTGAATGTGCTGGCTCAGAGATGCATGGACATGAATCAGGATATGTACTTATGTTTTGTAGACTTTGAAAAGGCATTTGATAAAGTTCAACATAAAAAGCTTGTAGATATATTAAAAAGCAAAAATATTGACAGTCGTGATCTGAAAATTATATCTAATTTATATTGGAATCAAACTGCCAAGGTAAGAGTTGACAGCCAGTACACCGAAAATATCAAAATACAGAGAGGAGTCCGCCAGGGTTGCGTGCTGTCCCCACTACTTTTCAATGTCTACAGTGAAGCGGTATTTCAAGAAGCGCTCTCAGACTCAATAGAAGGTATATCTATCAATGGAGAAGTTTTGAATAACTTACGTTTTGCAGACGATACAGTAATAATTACGGATAACAACAATGATTTACAGAACCTAATGCAACGCCTTAATGAACGCTGTCATGAGTACGGACTGAAGATAAATTTAAAGAAAACTAAATGCATGATCATGACTAAATCTGCACATGCAAATATCCAATTGACTATTGAAGATACTGCAATTGAGAATGTTAATAACTATAAATATTTAGGAACATGGATAACATCAGATGTAGACCAAACCAAAGAAATTAAGACACGTATTGAAATAGCACGTACATCATTTATTAAACTTAAAAAGTTTCTTTGTTGTCGGGATATAAGGTTAGAACTACGCCTGAGAATGCTTCGATGTTACGTGTTCTCTACTCTTCTTTATGGTCTGGAAGCTTGGACACTAAAACAAGTTCATCTGAATAAGCTGGCCGCCTTTGAATTTTGGTGTTACAGAAGAATCCTACGAACATCATGGATTCAAAGAATGTCAAACATGGAAGTAACTAGAAGGATAGGAAATAGGCGGAAATAATATTAACTATTAAAAGACGAAAACTTGAGTACTTGGGACATGTGATGAGAGGGCAAAATACGCATTATTACAACTTATTATGCAGGGCAAAATCCGAGGAAAGCGAAATGTGGGAAGACGAAGAATATCCTGGCTTAAGAACTTAAGGGAATGGTTTGAATGCAGTAGTGCAGAACTTTTTAGAGCGGCAGTCAACAGAGTCCGCATAGCCATGATGATTTCCAACCTTCGATAGAAGATGGAACTTAAAGAAGAAGAAGTTACAAAATAATAAAATTTAGCTTAACTTTGTTAATTTATTATTTAATTATTTAATAATTATTTTAAAATTTTTATCTTATTTCTTTGTCTGAGCTTGTTTCCTTATGAGCGTAAATTAGTAAGGATGACGCTTTGAATTGATTTTAATTTTAAGAATAACAGAAGCTGATTGTATATGAATTTTTTGAAAAAACCGCACTCAAATATTTTTCGACATGAACGAGGGCCTAGAATAATTATGTAGGTAATACTATACAAGATGTTGTTAGAAAGTTGTACCTTTTTATAATTTACTATAATTCTCATTTTGGTAAATAATTTGCATAAGTTACAAGATTAGCATCCATAATTACATTTCTTCATGTTTCAATCTTAGGTCATGCTAATAGCAACCTCATTTACCGACATGTTTTGCTTAGGCGTCTCCCCCAGGTCTTCTTTGGTTTTCCTTTATCACTCTTTGATGATAATCCTAGGTAATTACATAAAATCCGAAGGAGCTTATTCGCGATCTGAGGTCGTGGTGGGAATGTAAGTTTAGGAAACTAGATTACTTCCTGACTCAGTTTCTGACCAAACATGATAGTTTTGGTACCTTCACAACTAGGCTAAGCAAATCTGCCTCGACGGAATATGCTGAATGGGGGGTGCGGGATGCTCCCGCTCATCTATTCAATTGCCAGAGGTGGTGGGCAAAGGAGAGGGGAGAGTTCGACAGGCGAATGGGTTTCAGGCTGAATGAAAAAAACATAGTAAACATGAGTATAGGATAGAAGACGTAACCTTATCGATGGGCCTTAAAATAAACAGGGATAAAACGAGAATCATGATAATTGACAGAGCTAACAACAATCAAAATCATCTGGTTAGGATAAACAATATCGCTGTTGTAGATAAATTTGTGTATCTGGGCTCATTAATAACCAACAAAGGAGGCTGTACTGAAGAAATAAAGCGGCGGTCAGCAATCGCAAAAAGCGCTATGGCAAAATTAACAAAAATTTGGAAAAGCCATGAAATTACTACCGATACAAAAATGAGACTAGTAAGAAGTCTAGTTTTTCCAGTTTTTACTTATGCATCGGAATTCTGGACCCTTACTGAGAAAGACAAAAAGAACATAGATGTATTTGAGATGTACTGCTGGAGACGAATGCTGAGAATACCATGGGTGGCCCGAAGAACAAATGAATCCATACTGGTCCAGCTAAACATAAAGAAAAGACTAAGAACACAAATAACAGAACAGATAATAAGCTATTTTGGACATGTGCTTCGAAGAAATGGTCTTGAAAAACTTACCATCCAGGGAAAAGTAGAAGGCAAAAGAAGTAGAGGTAGATCTCCTACACGATACACGGATCATATTGTTGCTACCATTGGCGCTCCATTGTCAGAATGTGCTAGATTGGCAGAAGATAGAAAAACGTGGAGGAACATTGGAAAAATTACCTAACAGCTTCATGATATCACGATACCTGCATCAGGTTAACGACTAAGAAGAAACATGAGTATGAGAGGAGAGAGAGAATGGAGAGAAGTGTTCTGTCTAATCTCTAGAATGAAGAAAAAGGAGCAGGAGGACAAAGAAGGAAATCGGACCAGGGATCTGAAATCTTACTAGGTATCAAAATTAGGTTGCGGCCTTATGGTAATATTTTCTCTCTTGTTTTCTTTTGGTAATAGGCAGTTCTCAAACTATTTTTTCTAATTTATAATGATAGGTATAGCTAGTTGTAGGTTTTCATTAATATAATGTAGTTATTTTTTAAGGGGTACTGTTTAATTTTTTTTATCGGCATTGTATAAAATCAAACTACTTATTTTTATTCCCGTATCATTTTATCAACTATTCTCTCTAATATATCCATTATTTCGTTATGTAGCTTGATTGATCGTAAATACTAAGAGACTCTTTCATTATTAATTTGAGATTTGTTCCTCTTTCATAATTCTATTAAACAAGCTTGGTAGCTTTCCAATTTCTGCTATTCCTATACTTCTACAAGTATATCATATTGTCCAACTGTTTAACATTTATAGAGGGTGGCGTAAAAGTATGTCATACTCAACATGTTTCGACATTCTTGAGGTACATTAGATACAGACAAACTCATAAACAGAAAGTACGCCTGATCATAATTTTAAATTGCGTGTTGAGAAATAATGACGGTAGAAAAATGCATCTAAACATACTGATAGTTCTTACAAAGAAAACAAAAGATATACTGTAAAGTTAAAATAGTTAATTAATAATATAACTTACCCATAATAAGCATAATAATAGGTAGTATTGACAAACACACCAAAGCAATTGTTACTACAACTGAAACAAAAATACATGTTAATGAAGTATCAAATCTATGTTAACTATGGTGTATTTCAAAAATTGGAGTCAATTTTTAAACGGCATCTACACTCTCGATCGAAGTTCTCTGGACGAAGTGTTGAAGTGAAGTCGAGTAAATACACTGCACATTAACATGAAACATGCTTACCGTACGTTGTCGAATTAGTTTATGTTGATAAAAGTTTGTAGAAGTTTCTAGGTTTCTTTCTCTGTCTTCTTTATGGATAATAATAATATCCATTTATTGATCATGTGGTATTATACAAGAAAGGTAACAGAGCCAGGGCTAAATTTCAACAGACTGTTATTGCTAGTGCTTAAGGTGAAAAAACATATGTAAAAGTATTTCACCATTCTTGCTTTATCCTATGCATTCCATTATGTCTATTCTTCTTTACTTCATTATAAACTACAACATCCTCGTGGCATCCTTTAGTATGTATTTCTTTCTCATCATTCACGAGATTCCAGTTTTTCTGGCTACGCAACATCAGTTCAATTAGCACCGTCAGAGGAATTTTGTCGTTACAATGTTTCATCATATATCTATCAACAAATGGATTTACAATAATAATAACCTTACATTTTCATCATCCTATATAATTCCCGATATGTTCTAAAATCCCATTAATATAGCAACTGCGTGCAAAAATGCCACGTCAAAATTTGATGATGTACAAGAGTTCCATAAGAAAATGTTCTTAAGTACATTACACCTATGTAACACAAAATACAAATGCTCAAATATGAAAATATAAACAAATTAGCCTACTTACCAGTCTTATTAACTATATTTAATGCCTTGCAAACAAAGTCGCAGGTCCCATTTGCCTCTAAGTTAGCGTCTTTAAGCTGATATGCTACACTGCCATATGTCGTTAGGGAAAGAGCAAGGTTGATACTTTGTGTTTCTGTATTATTATGGTCTACACAAAGACGGCGCTGCTCATCTCCTGACACCTGAAAAATTCGTAAAAAAATTGATACGCTATTTACAAAATAATGATATTTGAATATAAAATGCAGAAAAAAAGTAGTGCAGTTATAATACAAGTAAATATCAAACGCTATGAGGAGCTAATGTGTGATGAGATCATAATGAGTGGTAAAAGAGTCACAGCCTTTAGGAGGTAATCCTAATAGTATAAAACATTACATATCTAAAGCGACAAGTCAATAAAAGAGCTAAAAAGAATTGTGTGTATTTTGTTACCTCCTCCCTACATTTGTTAGGGAGAAAATTATTTCTACTCTATAATATGCCTTCTCAAGAAGTTCCTCCAATTAAACTCCAATAGATTCAGCCCACTTCGAAGACGAAACTGTCTCCTCCTTATGATCTTTCGTCACAAATATCAATAAAATACTTCAAGTTCATAATTCATGACATTAACGTAGTCCCCAAAAAAAAAATGGATACGCATCAGTCACTAGCTACTACGGTAACAATAACGAGCTAACAGTAGCTACTTTTATTTTGCTACCAATGTGCAAATATTTTTAAGATCCATGATTTCGGTGTTATGTATTATCGGTTCTCTGTTGCGGGGACGACCCTTGGACACTAACCAAAACAACGCAAACGACCGAAGGCTTTTAAAACTTATATCTGTAGTATAATATTCAGAATGTTCTGGATAGATCGTCTATCAAACAGTGAAGTTATAAAAATACCCAGCAAGGGATGTGAAATTATTTTGACTCTAAAGAAGAGGTTCATATAGATGCAAAACTTCCTTAGTTAATAATCTTAGAAGGTGCTCTTCACTATCTACCAATGTACTATTAAGAGCAACAGCAAATGCAATGAAAATAGCCATTCCTGAAAGGGGTAAAGGAGGAATAGATTTAAAAAAATAGTTTGCTGTACAAACGCAGCACTGTATAGCTTAGATCAAAAGAAAAATACTAGAAGCAAATGAAATAGTACTAATTTTCTAACTTGCTTTACTCTATTGGTAATGTTTACACGATAGACATATAATACAAGATATATTGATTGTTGCAATACCAGTGTGTTCTGCCAGTGCGACAGAGAAAACTAAATCAAAGCAATCCCTGTATCTCTTATCGACCACGTGACCTAAATGACCAATTAGAAGGTCACTTGGTCGATAACCCCGTCTCAATAGACAGAGATGCATTGACTACTTTGCCTCAGTTCTCTCTGTCACACTGGAGGAACGCGACTCTATTGCAGCGCTCAGTCAATCTTGTATTATATGTCGATATTATACACTGCTGGACAAATAACCCTAAAGTGATGTGAATTGTATTTTGTAAATTTTAAAGTAGTTTGTGCTTTTCTACATTGCAATTCTAAAAGATATTTTGTATATTGGAACAAAAATTAATATATTTTCGAAACCCCCATATGTTTGAAAGATACCAAAACGAATCTTTTTGCGAAATATCTAAGAAAACATTGCAGCGTGACACAAACAAACCGTTCAAAAGTTCTCAAATTAAACAAAACCTGAATGTAGTATCTATTTTGACAATTAGATGATAGATGGCTAAATACACACCACAGAGTGATCAAAGAAAGAAAGAAAGTAAAAAAAGTGGCAAGGAAATGAGGCAAGCACAATGACATAAAATAAAATTGTCTCGAAGAAATTTGTACACGATAAAAATTAGATAAAAGTATTACCCCAAAGCTTTTAAGAAAAAATGTCAATTGATTATACATATACATTAATAATATACACAGCATCTGCAACTATTCAGCGTCTCTTCATCTAGTTGGTGTTGCCAAATTGAAGTTCCAGAAACGAAAAATCCCTAGTCCAATAACAACCAAGCAACTGAACACAAATTACCAAGTAACAAAGAGTCGTACAAGTAATTGCAAAATTAGTACAAGTACAATATCACAAGTACAAATCCACTCGTCTAGTACAACAGTGACCAGAAAGCGAGATCTGGCGGACCTGGACTTGTACGAAAGAGCAAGTCAGAGCGTTCTGACAAAATCCCAATTCAATATTTAGATACTAATACAAACAGGAAAACTATACATCGTAACAACAGAACTCATCAGATAGTAGATACGGATTCTTACAGTGCAAGAAACGAGATCTTCTTCTTAGAGTGCCATATCCCTACGGAACGTCGGCGACTACCATGCTTATAATATTATTATACTGATCTCGGTCTTGCGCTACGTGTAGCAATTGGTCCGCTGTAAAACCTGTCCACTGCCGCAAATTCCTCAACCAAGAGAGTTTCTTCCGTCCTATCCATTTGTTTCCTTCCATTTTACCGTTGAGAATTAGCCGAAGGAACTCATATCTTGGTCCTCTGATTACATGTCCAAGATATTCTAGTTTACGCCTCTTAATAATATTTAATAGAGTTCGTTGATGTCCCATTCTTCGAAGAACTTCTTCGTTTCTGGTTCTGCTAGTCCATGGATTTTTAGTATCCTTCGATACAACCACATCTCAAACACCTCGATTTTATTCATGATATCGGCGTTTAAAGTCCAAGTTTCACATCCATACAAAAGTACAGACCACACGTAACATCTTGTAAACTTTTCACGGATTTCCAAATTTAATGAGTTAAAGAAGCGAGATACACAGACTTAAAGAAGAAGAAACACAATGACTACAGAAAAATCATAGGTATGAGACAAACAGAAGATGGATAAGAACTAAAATTGAGTAAAACACAAGTAGAACATTGAGTAGAACAATCTTGAACATAGAAATTGAAATCTGGACACGATATATTAAATTTATTGAACATCTATCGCCTATGGTGGAGCAGTACGGCAAGAGATAAGGGCTTGCGGCTTGGTGATACTCCTCCATAGATCCCTACCGGACGGGCGTAACGCCTAAAAAACCGGATATATATATATTGAACATCTAAAGAGACTATCTGGAAATAGACTAACAAAAAATACTTCAGTACATAACTCCACTCAAACAATTAACATTGTAGTAAATTGAAATTCGAAAAGACCTCAAAAGTCCAACATAAGTGAAATATACATCGCAGACAATAACACATTCAGGGACAAAGTAAATAAGTAACTAGCATAACACTGGAGCAAATAAGTAGGAGCAATACAGGATAAAATGGTTTGCAGAACGAAAACATCGTTTTGCAAAACGTATGCTTATCACCGTCCTTTAAAGAAGAATTTGTTAATTCTAATAAGAAGAAGAATTTACTAGAAAACATAAAAAACTGTGTTTGAATGAACATCTCTCTAAGACCATGCAGAAAGCTGTACTAATTAACGCTGTACTACACATACTTAACGTCCAGATGTGTACGACAATTTTTGGGAGACACTCCAGCACACCAAGTTACCTAGGGCTGGATAACACGAAAAGAGTCCCATCAGAACTCAATCCTTTTGATATTGTAGGTATTTGGAATAAGTGATCCCTTAGACGGAATGACAGCCGGATGGCCAAATCTGGATATATTAATGGCATATTAATGAGTTTCATATACTATTAAAAAAACTTCTTTTTTGTCCAGCATTGTACTTGAATAAATTTTCTAATCCTAATTTTTTATCTATTTTAAAATAAGTGTCAGTGTTTTTAATCAGTAACAGTACTGTTAAAATCGTTTACAATCTAGTTAATTAGGTTTATGAAATAAAAAAATCGATAAAAGGGCTTCGTTATTAGTATCCCTTAAAACTTACATATAAGTAAATAAAAAAAAGGAATATACATAGCTACATCAAGGCTATCAGAACAGCCAAAGTCCAGACCGTGTCTGACAATCAACTAAAATGTGAAAGAATCAAAATGTACACCAGACTTATCTTAAATAGCTGAAAACGTAATTTTTAAAATGTATTATACGTTTTACATAAGATTTTCTAGTAAGTCCAATTTTTATGTTTACTGACACAAACTTTATGCTACTCACTAAATTCCTACCTGACTTACAGAACTGCTGGCCCTTCTGGACCCATTCTCACTAAATCCAGAAAATCCCGCAGCTCCACTCCTGGATCCTCCCACTCTATAAGGTGAGGTACTCCTAATTCGTACACCTAAAATGCATGCTAATCATTAGTCTCGTTTTTATTAAAAACGCAGATAAGTTCGTAAAATCTATATATGTTAAAACCGTAAAAAAATGCGATAAAATATTTGAAAAATAAGACACTGTAATTATTGACAACAATCATTGTTTGCACCACCTGGTGAATGATGCACAATATTTTAAACAAAACAAGCAGAATGTATATGTGTAGTTTGTCAAAACTAGGAATGACTTCTGAAAATCCTACAATTAACACGGCCACTTGATGCGCAGCAAAATTGCTGGAAATTATAATTATAACTGGAAATAACTACAACTAAAAGAGACATAGTTGAGTCTTGGCGTTAATCTATCTCTTTTTTTTTGAATACTTTCTCTGCTCTCAGCGCCGACAGGAAAAAATTTAAAAATAATTCCTAGTCTTTACGAGTAAGATTAAAGTTTCGAAATAATAGGATCCATCTGATAATTGTGTATGCACCAGATATAACAAGACCAAGAGAGGAAAGATAATATTTTGTCAATTAGTTGCCGAATTTACAGAGTTTGTTGCCTTTTTTTTAAATAGGGGTAACGGAAGCTAATTTCCAACTAGTGGGTAAGGAGTTCTGGATGAAAGAAGTTTGCATAATTAACGTTAAGGGTATTGCAAGCGTGTTTTGGTGTTAAACCATCTAAATCAGGTGAAGCGGCCGTGCGAAGTTTAATTAAGTGTTGTTTGACATGATCCACTACCACTGTGAATTCAACTTGCTGTAAGGATGCGCCGACACGATTACAGTTAATAGCAGGTAGAAAACCTGCGGAGAGAGTTTCGGAAGATTCTTTGTCAGAGGAGCAGAAAGTCTGGTTGGGTTTTTGAAGTAGCGGAATGGAAACTTTAGATGTCATGGAGGAACGAATGTATTTATAGACTTTTTTAATGTTACCACTTTCAATTTTGTCTTAGGGTTTTTAGAGATGTTTTTAAGTTATTTGAAAATCTGCGGTGGCTTTGGAAATCACTAAGAAGCCCGGTGTGTTTAAATTTTCGCCATAGATGTCGTTTGTGATTAATTTGTTTAATTGCTGTTCGATTTATCCAGGGTTTAAGGTTGTTTTTATAACTCGGAATATTTATAACTACGGAAAATAGTATTTGTAGAAATAATATTGTGGACTTTATCGGGAAATGCAGTGTCGTTTAAGTCTGCAAAAAATAAATGCCAGTCGATTTGAGAGAGTTCAGTCTCAACTTCAGGAAAGTCGGTAGTAGCATATATTACAATGTTATTTTTGAGGGGTAATATTTGATTGAACTGGATGTGAGCCGTTATAACTGCATGATCTGACTTTCCTATGGGAGAACTGACTTCGTGAGATGAAATCAGCTATTCGTCATTAATAAGCACTAGATCTAAAGTAGAAGGTTGGTTATTATTCCTAAATCTAGTAGGTTCTGTAATGAGTTGTATCAGGTTTGAATTTACTACAAAGCTTTTAAATAAATTATGAGCGTTTTCGGCGTCAGATAATGAAATTATTGTCCAGGTGATCTCTGGGAAATTAAAATCTCCAGTAATGATAAGATTATCAAGAGATGATAGTTCTTCAAGTTTTGTGAAGAAAACATTATCGTGTGCAAGTAGTGTATTAGGTGGACGATATATACATACTAGAATAAGGCAAAAACAATTTTTAGTAACAGATAAGTAAATTGCATCTATTCCAGTAATATCTATTAGCTTAAGGTTAATTTTGAAAGTTGTGGTAATAATATTGGATAAATAAATGCCTACACCGCCACCCACACGATTTTCTCTGTCTTTACGATATATTGTATATCCATTTATATTAACAGAGGAGTCAGAAATTGTGGGTTTGAGCCAGGATTCGGCAATACAGATAATGTCCGGTTTAAGAAGTTGCACTGTGCATACAAATTCGTCAAACTTAGCGGAAAGTGAATCTAAAATAGTATATAGAAATAGCCAGTCATTAAATTTGTTGGTAGAAAAATTATGAACGAAATTTCGTGATTCTGGTAGTGCCATTGATGTATTTAATAGTTAAATCATGTTCACCGTTATTTTTGCGAGTTTCTAGCTCACTTCGGAGTTCTTTTAAATGTACTTGTTGGATGGGCGTCTTGTCGTCAATTATTGAGAATTTTTCCGTGGCTTTGTTTTCCAGAAGTTTGGCTTTATTTCTCAGAATATCTTTAACGTGGTATTCCGAACCCATTACTACCTTTATCATTCGGGGGAATCGTTGGTTTGTTATGCCGACTCTGTAGAAGGTGGTTTGCTTTTCCTGGCAGCCAACAGTATCCAAAACAAGCTTCACCTTATTCGCGTCATCATCTTTTCTACGTTGTACATCCCCAGAGGAAGATTCTGTTACGCCTCTAATTAGAATATTTTTAGCGCGTGTTATACGATCTACAGCTTCGTTAGCGATATTATCCATGAATTCGGTAGACTTAAATAAATTAATCACTAAGAAACCCGGTATGTTTAAATTTTCGCCATAGATGTCGTTTGTGATTAATTTGTTTAATTGCTGTTCGATTTATCCAGGGTTTAAGGTTGTTTTTATAACTCTTACGGAAAGTAGTATTTGAAGAAACGTAATAGAAGCCAAACAGACAATCGACCAAAAAAGCGTATGATTTGTAACTAAGTTTTTAGAGAATTTGCATCTGATCTAGTTTTTTTCTCTCCTGAGAAACTTTTCCTTATTTTTTTTACGAAATAATAATATTTCTTCTGATTATTTACTTTTTTTCTACTAAGAAAAGCCAATAATTAAATATTAAGTAGAAAACAGAAACTAAGAATCTTATAAAAATAAGCAGAAAACGCTGAGAATTTAGACGAAATACGAACATCAAGTCCTACACTAGAAGGACAATTGTATTAGAACGACTTTGAGTGAACTGATGGAATTACAGGAAACTACGATCAATGACAGACACAGGCTCACGACTAATCTAATCATTCAAATCGCTCTGGGCTACACAACGATTACTCGATTAAACGACTAATTCAGAAATAACAAGACATTTAAAAATGTAGCTATTGCACTTTGTCAATTCCATTTAACATAATTAACGTTTTTTAAGAGTGACCGATAAAATTAAACCTAAATATTGAATAGTAAAAAAATCACTATAAAGGTTGTAAATTACAAAGTGAGAGATAAAAATGAGCAAATGATTACAGCTGAAAATAAAATAATCGAAAGATGGGCTGAATACTTTGAAAGTCTTCTAAATGTCCAGGTAGACGCGGATGGAAATAAAGCAAATTGTGAGTACCAAACGGCCGAGATAGAAGTACCCCCGCCAAGCCTGGAAGAAATTATCACGGCGATAGAAACCCTAAAAAATGACAAATCCCCGGGACTAGACAATATTGATGCAGAACTGATTAAAAAAGGAGGGCATGAACTTAGAACTAAAATACACCAATTAATGAAGGAAGCCTGGGAACAAGAAATAATGCCAAAGGAATGGAGTGGCTGTATTATCGTGCCAATACATAAAAAAGGCAGAAAGGATACATATGGCAACTACAGGGGAATCTCACTAATCGGTACTACATATAAGATATTAGCTTCAGTTGTACTAAAACGATTACTGCCATATACAGAGGAAATTATTGGCAATTACCAATGCGGCTTTAGGCCTGGAAGATCAACAATCGACCAAATATTTACTATCAGACAAATGCTAGAAAAGTATTGGGAATATAATAAAGAAGTATACCAGATCTTCATAGATTTCAAACAAGCATATGATTCCATAGATCGCTTAAAACTGTGGAGTGGAATGATGGAGTTAGGCGTACCAAAGAAGCTGACCATGATTGCGCGAATGTGTGTCAACAATTCCTTTGCACAAATTAGAATAGGAGGTAAAACTTCAAAGGCTTTCGGCATAAGCACCGGGCTCAGACAGGGAGACCCGCTGTCCCCATTACTATTTAACCTAGCATTGGAATACGCAATGCGAAAAATCTATACCAGAGTCAAGCCAGACATAACTGCCAGAGAAGCAAAGATTATTCTCGCATTTGCAGATGATGTAGAGGCAGTAGCACAGACAACACTAGAAGTTAAGGATATAGTATCGAACTTTGAAGAAGCAACACTAAGCGTAGGCATGAAAATAAACGAAGAAAAAACGAAATACTTGGTCGTATCAAAAAAGGAACGACAGCGAATAAGACAAAACATTACCATAAACGATCATAATTTTAAGGTGGTCAAAGAATTCGAATACCTAGGAGCAACAATTACAAGTGAAAACACAGGAGAACGGGAGGTTGAAATACGAATACTGGCGGGGAATAAATCATTCTTTGCCATTCAACATTTAATGAGGTTAAAGCTTCTCTCAAGGCGTGCCAAAATCCAAATGTACAAAACCATAATACGACCAGCAGTGACATATGAAAGTGGAACATGGACATTGAGAAAGGAAGAAATCAATAAGCTATTAGTATGGGAACGCAAAATCCTGCGAATGATATATGGTCCTTGCAGGGACAGCGTGACAAATGAATGGAGGAGCAGATACAACAATGAAATAGAGACTCTCTTCGGGAAAGGAAACATCGTAAGATACATAAAAGCCAATAGATTAAGATAGGTCACGGATACCAGGCCACGTGGTACGGAGTTATGACGACAGACTGATTAGCAATGTGTTTTGGGAAAGAACAGATGGTAGAAGATCGACAGGAAGGCCTAGAAGAAGTTGGAAAGACGCAGTCAGGGAAGACCTGGAGAAGATGGAAGTAAGGCTATGGGAATAATAGCACAGGATCGGAACCAATGGAAGGCAATAGTAAACGCGGCAAAAACTCACGAAGAGTTGTAAAAGCCAATGATGATGAAATTACAAGTAGGTAAACAATTTTATTGTTTAGGTACTTGGGCATGAACTAAAAAAGGGGAAAAAATTGGGAAAATCTAAAAAATTACCTTATTTTGGACAGATAATGCGAAATATTTTCTGCTACA